GAAAATATTTTTAAAAGCATAAATAAAACCGGTCTTTTCTGGCCGAGATTTTGGGGATGTCACATATATAGACTTATACCAGACATTGTAATGTTGGATATGGTTTTGAATTTTGTTTTCTTATCTTAGGATGATTATGGTGAGTGCTGTGAAATGGGTAGATGAAGTCCTTCCTGATGGAACTGACGCATATGCCCTTGCAAAGAAAGCAGGTCGATATAAGCAAATAAAACGAACAGAAGGAGTATCAAGCACAGACATTGTTGGTATGCATATATATCATACTATATAACATAACAGATTAAGTCAAAAAACTTATCTTAGTTTTTATAATATTTGGTTAAATACAGGGAGGATGCTTTTATGTGTAAGGGAGAGGACAAGTGGTGATAGCCCTAGTCATGCTTCCTTGCAAAGACAGTTTAGCCATGGCCATGGCCAGAAGAAATTTGATGATGTTGGTTCAGGAAGTGGGACCCGTGTCTCTCATTTTCTTCCTACATCTCGCAGGATTGTTCAGTTTTCCAATGAAAAGGTAATACTACTACTAATAATAATAATAATAATTATTTTCTTGTTTTTTTTTTGCTTGACAGAATTCGATGTGGTGTTTATTGCTTGAAATTGCCATGGAAAGAAGATTAAGCAATAACAATGAGTGGTTGTATTTCTCATTTGCAGGTATACATGAAATCAAGAAGAAGAATGTTCTTGTTTTCTTGGCTGGGAATGGTACATAAGAGACTTACAACATTCTACTGGAATGGAATCTTGAATTCCGATTATGTCAGAATAGAATCTTGAAGATGAACATTCTACGGGATGAAGATGAACAATGACCACCAATCTTCCAAAAAGAATGGATTATTCTAGCAGAATAATAGTATATTCTGGTAGAATGATTTATATATTTGTATTTCTTTGTTATTAATAAGTGTAACATTCTCATAGAATAGTATATAAAATTTTTTCTTTTCTAAGAATGTAATGAAATTTTTTTTAACTTGTATCCAAAATTTTGTTATTCTTCAAGAAGTTCATTAAATCAAAATATATATTATGTCAAAATGTGTATTCTTGTATGGTTCAATAATTTTTTTATTTTTCTATATATTGATAAACATATTCCGTCAGAATTTCCGAATTAGGAGAATTATCATCCATACAATCAGATTTTTAAAATTAATAGAATTTATTTTCCCTTAAACTATGCAATTTTCCTTAAAATATGCAAATTTCATTTATTAAATCTATATTAACTGACTAAAATACCTTTCTAGTTAAATTAGATGATATTTTTCAATTATATTTAATTCAATAATATGTAATAATCACTTTCTTAAAATAAGTAAAATGATTCGCCCACAATCATTCATACAATAACACAATAATTAGTTAGAATAGAATAACCTAGGCCTATATATATATATATATATATATATATATATATATATATATATATATATATATATATATATATACTAATAGAGTACCCGTGCGATGCAGCGACACAAGATAGTTCCTTACAACTGATAGTTTCATGCGGTGATTAGTTTCCTTTTCATTTCTGATAGTTCGTTTCAATATTTTGGCGTTCTGTTTTGTGTTGGATAATTCCTTTCGACGAATAGCTTCTAGCTGGGTATATAGCTGTGATGGCGGAATACTTTCCTATCCGGTCACATCTATTGCATTGGGTGATTACTTTCAACGAGAGTTAGTTTCTTTCGACATGTTGTTTCGAGATAAAAATAAAAATACGTTTAAAAAACACATAATGCATAGATTTATCGTATGTAATATTGTAGATGAAAAATGAAAGTTCAAAAAACACATACTTTTACTGTTTAAAGTCAAAAGAAAAATGAGTGTTTGAAAACTCAACAAAACAATAAAACTATCATTATAATACAAATTTGATGGTTCGTGTATTAGCGAGAAAGAGAAAGTTAAAATTGGCTCTAAAACAATAAAAAAATCATTTAAATACTTGAATATGATTTGTGTGCCTTATCAACGTCACTAAAGAATTATTATAAAAATTTGAGAACGGTAATGATCTCTGTTTGTTACATCTTATAATGTATATTTCCGTTTAACCCCTTATATTATAAAGAAGGTTTAAATTACCTATTTTATTTTTGTAATCGTTATTTTATATTGTTAGTTTTTATTGTATTAGTACTGTACATATTCTAATTCAAATCTTTTGTAAACATACATTAATATGTTTGGAAATTAAAATAGTACTATACATATTCTAATTCAAATCAAACTATAATTAAAGTAAAATCGTACATATTTTTGGAAACAGAAAAAAAAAAGATAAATTCTTGGAAACATATATATTGGTATATTCAATCTTGGGTCCTATTGACATATGATTACTTTCATTTAAAATGAGTATGAATTTGAAAAATAATGTATGGCATATTGGAATGTATCTATTATTAATTTATTATTTTCATTTAAATTATTAATTTACATTTATTATATATTTCTCAAATTACTTTAGTTAAAATAAATTTTGAAAAAGTTTATGATTACTTTTCCGTTCTTTAATTATTGCTTTATAGAAAAAAATCTACATATCCAAATATATTTTTACATTTTTGTATGATTATCTAATTTATTATTTGAATATCGTATTTCATTTTGTTACATTATATATTCGGCTGGACATAATATTGTATTGGGACAATGATATTGTATTACCAAGACATTGCATTTTAAAATAACAAATAATTTATGAATAACACAACAAATATGAAAATCAAATTTAAACATAACTACCACCAATTGAATGGTTTCAAGGTATAAGTTTCAAAAACTCTTCAAAATAATTCTATATTCATTTGTTTTTATTCTACTCTCATCAAATCTTATATTAGTATCAATCGGCAAATAAGAATATAATGTTGATAGATAAAATTATAAAAAAAAAGTAATAAATTTAGAAATAATATTCTGAGTCTATTCCCTCCCTCCTTTATGACAGTCATCTATTATCAGTCATTTATTATCAGTCACTTCATGTCACCTTTTTTATAAACAATTTTAAATGAAGATAAACAAATTTCAATTCTAATAACCAACATCGTTTTCAAATGCACATGGAGCTGCTACCGAATCATCTACAACATTGCTTCTAATATTGTTCCTCACCCTGAATTCAGAGTTATTCAAGAAGTCCAATGTCTATAAATATGAAGCAGGTAATGAATAATGTCAATAAAATACTCAACCGAATGCTCCAATGAATAACACAACTACACAACATACGGTGCTTACTTCTGTTTAGCTAATCACTATATCAAACCAAAAAAAATGTGTTCACGAACTAAACAAAGGAACCAATATTTGAGTAATAAACATCATACTTATATCTGCAGGGCATCTTACCATGGTTGTCGATCATAGAATCAACAACTGCATCTACACAAATGAAAATATCACTCATACATACATTAAAAGGCAAAACAGATTAATAAAAGTATTATACAATTACATTTATCATTCATTTTAATCAGAAACCAATTTGGGTGCCACTCTTCACCTTAAATACGAAGGAAAGCTAAAAAAACACAATCTTTTTTCAAGCACGCCTTAATCGATCAAAAACCCAAAAAAATGAAATAATAATAATAAAAAAAACTTTAATCTATTAAAGACCCACAAAACGTAAAGTTACATTGCATATTTGGATTGAAAATATGAAAGCCAAAATACATTCTGTTCTTCAAAACAAATCATTACATGAAGATATATAACAGGGGAGTTAAATCACAATAAGCCAATCTGGAATTTTGGTTTGCATATGTGGAAAGTTACAAATTATACAAAAACTCTTGAAATTTTAAAAAATATAATTACAAAGATTAAGAACTCGAAATAAACCTAGTGTTAGCTGTTGTTGTTACTTGTGTTATCCCGTTTCTGCAGTAGAGAGAATGAGAGAGAAGATACTCGATTCCTGATCTATCCAATAATAATATCCATGTAGTGTGTATGTGAAAGACAAAGAGAAACCATGGTCACATCTGAAATAACTAACCCAAAACAGCCATCAATATGAAGTTTTGAGTTTAAAACGCAAGCCAGAAATTGGCCTGCCGGAGTCCGTACAACTGCTAATCGTGTTCATCAGCAATCATAACAAAAAAAAAAACAAACAAAAACTCGTCAAAACTTTTTTTGAGCCTATATCTGGCTTAGTTGCACCATTTGGAGAAAATTGATGTTTTTGATGTTAAAAAATGAGGAGTTGATAATGAGTTCGCAAATTTTCACAATTCTTTTTGGTTCTCAAAAGAACATGGCTATATATATATATATATATATATATATATATTCTAATAGAAGAATAAATTTATTCTTCTTTTGTCATGTGTCAATTTATTATGCTTCGTAATTAATGTCATGTCACTTATCATCCTATTGATTCTCCATTTTAAATTTCAAAATTTAAATTTCTCACTCTAATTATATTAAATTAATAACATTAGAATAAAAAATAAAATAAAATTAATATATTATAAGATGATATAATTTCATCTATTAAATAATGATAATAATTTTATATAACCTAAAAAATATCTCTTAATTAATAAATTTTTAAAAATAATTTATTGGGAAAATGACACTATAGCACATCAAACCTTTTCCATTTGGCCAATTTGGTTGCAAAAGTTTTTATTTTTTGTGAATTAAGTCACTAAAGTCGGGTTTTACCTGTCAATTAAGTCATTTTTCCCGATTTTAAACGGTTTCCCGGTTGAGTTTGTCTAGGTGTAAATAATTTTGATTTAATAGTTAGTTTATGTACTAAGCAGATTACACGTAAGATTTTCCATGTCAATTAATGATATAAGACTCGATACTTAAACTTACTTGCTTCACCCGTCGACCTATGTTCTTCATTTATCACCAAAACACGAAACTGAGTTAGGGTTTTTTAAGGATATTTGTGGTTGAGCTGAAGAATCAAAACATTCAGTGGAATGGCACAATCGGGCCCTAATGGACTGTTTGCGATGGCGGAACTCAACTATCAAGGGGTATTTACTCGTAACCCTTTCTCCTACACTGGTGGTGTCAAAACCATGTTTAATGATGTTGATTTTTCTTCAATGACATTTTCTGAGTGTGTCACTTTCTTCAAATGTTTCATGCATGAGCAGTGTAAAAAGATGTACTACTGTGAATCAGGCCTTTCCCTGATGGATGGACTTAATCCCATTTCAGATGATGTGGAATACGTTACTTTTATATTTGATGCTTATGGAACAGATGGTATAATTTCTATTTTTATCAATCATGTTGGGATTTGGAATAGATGGATGGTTTGATGATGATGAGGAAGATTATGATGATCACGAGTCTTGTATTTATGGTGAAAATGACGATAATATAGATGAACTTAGGAATGAGAATGTGGAATTTAATAAGGATGTAATTATTATGAATAGGACATCAAATGATCCTTTCCTGAGTAAGTTATGTGTTGATGAGGGGGAGGATAACAACATTGTAGATGATGATGAACCACCCATGCATTCAATTTTTAATGAGTATATACACTAAAGAAACAAAAACCAATTCTTTGAATAAAATTTAAGGATCCAGCCCAAGTTAAATCAATGTTGTGTAACTATGCAGTGGCTAATGGATATCAACTTTGTTTTGAAAAAAAAATGATAGGAAAAGACTTTTGGTTAGTTGTAGTAAGGGTGCTTGCACATTTAGACTATGGGTTTCTTGGATGGGTGATGAACAGAGTTTCCAAATCAAGTAACTAAAAGTTGATCATAATTTTGCTAGGAACTTCAAGTTAGGGTCATAAGTGACATATGCATGGATTGTAAGTCATTATACCAGAGAGATTATGTAGAGTCAGAAATTGAGTGTAAAGAAGCTTAGGGTAAAGGTAATAACAAAATTTGGTATCCAAGTTAGTATGGGCCAACGCATGAGAGCAGATAAGTATGCACTAAAACATATTGAAGGTAGTCCTATTGAACGTTATGGTAAGCTATGGTCATATGGTCATGAGATTCTAAGGACTAATCCTAGGTCAAATGTAAAATTAGATGTGGAGACTGGTCCATATGGAAAGAAGTATTTCATCAATTTCTATGTTTTTTTTATCAAGGAGTCAAAGGATGGAAGGATTCAAACAAGGTTGGTTGGATGATGCCATATTTGATTTTTAAAGGGTAACTTGGGCAACTATGATAGTATGTTGTCATTTTAAGTTAATTGAAGTATGTTGTCTTTTAATGTGTTTAGCTATAAGAAAAGGTGATGACTGTTTATATATTCTGCATGGGATAGTTTGGAATTATGTGCATGAATGTCAATGTTGTATATGGTACCAAATATGTTACTTTAATGGGTTAAAAGGTCTCATTTCCCTAATTATAAAATATCCACTATGTATTAACTGCAAATGGTCCCCATACAATTGTTACTTTCACATGGACCACTACAACCAATATAATTATATTAATATAGGGAAATGAAAACCATACATGCATGTTTCCTTTGAATAACATAAACAATTCCATTAACATAAACAATTCCATTCCATTATCCACATAGACATTTCCATTCTAGTTATATGTCGTTGGGACTTTACATTCAGGATAATTAGCAATTGTCAGTGAGATTTTACAAAAGATACAAAATGTAGCATAATACCACTTTAGGCTGACTTTACAAAAGATACAAAAAACCTTCACATCCAATACATACACCATACACTAACAGCTACACCAAAAGCTTCACACCCCAACAATAATTAGCTAACTTAAAAACAAAACAAACACACCTAAGAACTAGAGCAACTACCAACAGCTTGTACATACATATGCTCTTTTTGGAATCACATATCCCCTTCTCCATGCTTCCCACTAGACTCTTCTCCTTAATTTGAAGAAACTCCAACTCATCATTCCTACTCCTTAAGTTTTTTATGACACCAAGATCCTCTTTGGAATCCAACTTCTGCTTCATGAAATAGATGAGGTTTTTTTAGTAAGCTTCTTCCAGTGCAACATCTTTCCATTCAAAGTAATTACATTTCATCAGTCTTGTCTGTATTAAACCCACATGAATACACCATCAAAATGTAATCACTAATCACCAAATGCAATTTAACAAACCACAAAATAAAAAACGATTAACAATACGACACCATTTAAATAATCGCGATCGTATATGTACTTTCAGAAACAAAATTACGATAACAAACCAATATAATCAAAATTATTTTTAGGGTTTTTTTTCGTAATGTAAGGTTTTTTGATAGTGAAACCCTAAAAAATCTTGCATTAACGAATCGAGCTAGATCGAAGCTTACCATGATGTTGTTGCAGTTCCAAAAACGTCTACCGGGGTTAGTGAGCTTCCAACATGTCCGTTCCTTAAGTGGAACATCGCAGTCGTAGTTAGTAACACCGTCTTAAACAAACACACGAGCAACTTGAAGGCGATTTATTGCATTGGACGAGCTCGAAGACGTTGTGTTGAAGAACCGAACAACCTATTATGTAAAGGAGGGTGCTTGCTTTGATTTTTCACGAACGGGTAAGAAAGAAATGATGGAGGTCCAAATCGGGGTTTTAATTAATAGCGTAATTAGGAAGATAAATTGCCAGGTGCCACGTTGGAAGTCCAGGTAAGGGGTTTTTGACACATCACTTAGCCACGTAAGAACGAAACCGGGAAACCGTTTAATTTTTGAAAAAATGATGTTAATGATAGGTAACATCCGACTTTAGTGACTTAATTGACCAAAAAAACTTTGGTGACCAAATTGGCCAAATGGAAAAAGTGTGATGTGGTACAGTGTCATTTTTCCTAATTTATTTAAAATAATTGATTAATAATTTTGAGCTTTTCCTATGAAAGTTTAATTAGTTTTGTAAATATGGTTTCCATAGGTTATAAACTTGTGTGTGTGTGTGTGTATATATATATACACACACAAAAAAAATTAACGCAAAGGAATCAAATGGTAAACCTAAAGGAAACATATCATTATGGTTAGTGTGTGTGTTTGTGTGTGTATGTGTGTGTCTATATATATATATATATATATATATATATATATATATATATATATAGGGCTAAGTTATTTTGTTTCTTACATTTATTGTATGCTAGAATGCACCAATAGGAATTTAGTAAATTAAATAATTATTTAATTAAATAAATATAGATATTAAATGATTTCCATAATTATATGTATATTAAATGATATCCATAATTATAATTCTCTTTTTATCGAAAACTAATTAAATCCGCCAATAATTCTCAAATAGGGCTTGAGTGATTTCAAACTTCTCAAGTTGAAGAAAATGTGGGTGAGGGAGAATTACTGGAGGAGGTGGAGGAAGTGTTGGAGAAGCATGATTTCCAGTTCCATCATTGCTTAAATAAGGGAACATTCTTTCACCTTGATCAACATGTGGAAGATCATCTTCAGATAGAGGAAAAACATTTCCAGAAAGACGAGGAGAACCAATGTTGTCTTGACTCGACATATATAAAGGGAGAATAGAGAATTCAAGTTAGTTGATTTTAATCCTTCATTATTAACCCAAAAAGTTTAAATTAAGGCTAGGATCCATATTTTTTATTCGAATTCTAAAGAGGGATGTCGTAATCAAATTTGAATCTATTTTAGGTAGGTAATCATTTACCAGTTTCAATCTAATGAAACTCCTAGATCTTTTAAGATTCATTGAACTATGCAATGACATGTTTAATCTCGATTATGCTCTCACTTTGTGACTGGGATGTCGATGATCATAAATGAGATGTGAATAACCATGCAAATTAGCTTGGTACTCTCGTTGTCATTTATCATCTGGAATTAACGTGCCAGTTAACCACACACGCTCCATTAATTCAATGATAATTTACGAGACACCCATTGCCAACAATATTAGTCCCATATTAGTGTGCCGGTTAACTACACACGCTCCACTAACGACTAATAAGGTGCAATGTGCAATTTCATGAGTTAGCATCAAATTCACATTTTTCCTAAAGTAACTAATAATGGGATTTTAGAAAATGGTTTAATTACTTTATCATTATACTTTTAATGATGATTAATTGTCCTATCGAACCCATTCGGCTAACGACCCTCCACCATACAAGAGAGCGTTGGGTAAGAATGGATACCCAATGACAGTCATTTTACATGTCGTTTCCTTAAACTCTCCTTATAGTATGGCTTCGTGACTGAGGCGTACTGGCGGTTCGACTGACTTTTTTCATACATATAATATATATTAAACCCTTAATTTTATACATATATATATATATATATATATATATATATATATATATATATATATATATATATATATATATATATATATAGTATCAGGCGAATTTTACACATTTTAAAATTCCAAGGGTTTAATCTTTTAATAAATTTGACTTTTAATTTAATTAAATTTAAACCATATATGGATTTATTAATAATACTTTAATTAATCATTTAATTAAATTATCAATAAAATCCATAAGGATCTATTTTTGGGTTTACATTTTTAAATTTCAAAAGTTAAACCTTTTAATTTAAATCTAAAATAACCCAATAATATTAATTATTAAGTCCAATTAATTATCTAGTAACCCATTATGGATATATTAATTATCCTATAATTAAATAATTAATTAATTATTAATCATATCCATAAGGATAATTATAATCAAATAAAATCAACATTATCCGATCCATAATTATCTTCTAACATTTAGGTCTTATTTAATTATTTAATATTACCAAAAATCGGATTACGACAGATTTAATAAAAGATAATTACCAAATATAAACCAAATAAATCAAGTTAGGGAAGAAAATCCGAAATCAGGATCTGACGCGCAAACACGCCGAGTTGGAGGACGAACTCGTCGTGTTCCAGTCCAACACGTCGAGTTTGAAGAACAACTCGACGAGTTCGAAGAACGAAATGACGATTCTGTTTTCTCCTTCTTGTTCAAGTTCATATTAGTATCAATTCAATAGAAAACTAAACCTGACTCTGATACCACTGATGAGTTTTGAGCATAACATACAATCTTATGTGTGCATGCAACCCTAATTGAAGATCTACGTTTTCTCTAATTGAACATACAATAATGAACAACAAAGTATAAACCCTAGATCCCTAGTGTATAATCAAAATTTACATAATAAAGGGTTATAATACATACCTCTAAGATTGTTATAGTAAACAATCTTGAATCCTTGCTTGAAAAACCTTTGGTAGCAAGCGTCACAAGTGTCGTGCGTCTAATAGCTCACATACAAACTCAAACAACCAAGGAA